GAGTGGCGGAAAGGCAGGAGAGTGGGAAGAACTTTCTGACGATGGGAGCTGTCCAGCGACGTCAGCCAGAGCAGTTTCTTCCCAGCCTGGGCCGTTTTCTCTACCCCCGCCCCGCCCCCCGACCCTGTGTCGAGACTACATAATGCTCCTTGTGCCTGGAGAGCTCACAAGTGGGGCTCCATTGCTGTGGGCTGAACCAGTGTTCCCAAAGGGATTCCAGAAGTCTTCACTCGCTTTTGGAGGCTCCATTATTCTGTCTGCACCCTGAATATAGGAGGCACTTAGTGCGGGGTCTTTGGGCTGCTGGGGTGGATTTCTCACTCTTCTGTGAGAGGTCTTCATCGGAAAGCTTCTCTCTTGCTCTCTCCTTAGCCAGTTGCTGGCCATCATCATTGCCTCTGGGGTCTTATCTCTTCGAGATCAGGCAAGAGTGAGACTGGACAAGACGCCCTCTCAGTCAGGAGAAATGCGATTGCTGAAGCTTCTAGGTAGAAAATTGGGGGAACTATTTGGGGCCTGTATATCATGATGGATACTATAACTGTGTATAATCAGTTGTGCTAAGAAAAATGGGAACTTCCTACGGGGAGGGTTTGATTGTCTCTGAAAGAAAGGTATTAATTCTCATGATTTTGATGGCATCCGGGTTCAGTTATTTCATTATATAGAGGTGTGGGGTAGTGCCCATAGCAGGGCACAGCTGCTTCTTCTTTTTTTTCCCCAAGTGGAATTTCAGACTTGTACAGTAGTCTAGGAGAATTTAGTGACTTGTGTTTCATGAACTGTGTCTGGAATCTGCTTGTGTGTAGGTGTGCATAACTGGTGAGCGCCTGTGAGTTTCTGTGATTAAGGTGATTGTAGTAGACAGTATCACTAGCTTGGAAAAACCAATAGCTGATGTCCTGAGCATTGATGCTGATCACAAGAAAATCCTCCAGGAAATAGAGCTTTATTTAAAAAAATCTAGTCTTACTGGCTAAGTTTTTTAAATGTCTCTATAATCGGTACTGATTACTGATGGTTATAATTGCAGACTGTCAGAGAAGGCCTTTTTTTTAAGTCTTTAAAAAATATTTTTATTATTAAAAATTTTTAATGGCACTGAGGTTTCGCTATGTGGCCTAGGCTGGTCTCAAACTCCTGAGCTCCAGTAATCCTCCTACCTCAGCCTCCAAAAGTGCTGGGATTATAAGTGTGAGCCACCATACCCAGCCAAGCAAGGCCAAGAAGGCCTTCTTATGAGTGTTACCAGTCCCTGAACCGGTTTGCCCTTTGAAAGATCTTTGTGTTCCTGCTGTCAGTGGTAAGACCTCTCAGGAGCTGGTTGTTTCACCTGTTTCGAAAGTCTTGTCATTAAAATTCAGAGGCTCAAGTCTACGGCCTCCTGGTTCCTTTTTTAAAAGCTGGGTTTTTTTTTTGCTTTTTTCCCCCCTCCCAAATAGCACCCTGTGACACCTTGCCAGGTCTGCATGCTCCACCAGTCTTGGAAGCAGAACTTCCTTTCTCTGCTGCCCCTGCTTACAATTAATTAAAGCAGGAGCCACATGCAAGACAAGGGCTCTTTGTTTCTGCACGGAGGAAGAGAGGAAGAAATAGAGCCCCTGGCATTGCTGGTGCTCTTTCAGCCAGAATATCTGGTCTGAAATGCTTGCTTAAAACTCTTAGACATTGGCTGTTTCATCTCTGGTTGACAGTGACTGAGCGTGGGCTTCCTGCAAACTCTTCTGTGGCTGTTGAGTGCCAAGTGTACAAAGTTGGTAGGCAAAGATGAACAACAGCAAATTCTTTTAAATCGCGTTCAGCTTGTCAGTAGCTCAGTCAAAATTATGTTTCTGGATTCCAGGATTTTAAACCTAGACTTCGATTAGTAGGTCCCTTAAAGGTAAGGTATTGGAAATACGACCTGTGGTTTTGAAGTTAGTTTGATGGTTAGATTTTTGTATATTTGACCATTTGCTTAGCAGGCAAATGTCTTGCTCAAGGGAAGTTATTTTTTGAGAAATTCATATTACTTCCCCTTGATGAATTTTTCAAGTACAGAAAACTATACCAGAAAATATAGTCTTAGTACGAGGTCTTTATTCGATAAGTGGCAAAATTTTATAATTTGCATTTATCAGGGTGGCAGCTGATGATTTGGAAACTAGTCTAAAAATGGCAATCTTTGTTTAAAACCATGGTTTGGGGCTTTCCTAATCAGACCTGTAACTCATAATGAAACAGTGTATATTTATCAAGTTCTTTAAGTCAAGTGGAGCAGGCAGGGAAGTTTCTGAACGTGAACTTATGGAACAACGTCTGCTCTAGACTGATGCAACCGGCAAGGCTGATTTTCTTTAGAAGCAATGGTTTCACGTAGTAGAGTCCAACACTTTGACAGTGTCTGCTTAGCTCTCTGGTTTCCTTTTTCACTGTCTTGGGAATATAATGATAGTTTCATAATTTGCTATTGACACAGTAGCCAAGTGTGTAACTTTAATACTGAATTATAATTATTTTCCTATTTTCATTTATTGCCAAAAAGCACCTTAACGGTTATTTTAATTCACTTTTTATGGCCTCACTTTCAGCTGTATCCTCCATTATTGCCTCAAATTACATATTTTCACACAGTTTTAATTTAGCAAGAGACAGTTTTGAACTCTGTTTTTTCTGCCTCATCATATCAGAATATGTTTTCATGTTTGGTCACACTCTTCAGAATGATTACTTTAATGACCATATAATAGTCTGTCAAGTTGCACTTCCTTTAAACACTTCCCGCTTCCCCCAGATTTTGGAGTTAATCCATGTTCATCATAGGAATTTTAAAGAATAAGGAACAGTCTAAGGAAGAAAACTCAGAATTCTGCCATCCTAAGAAAGTCTTTCTCGGTCTCTTGGGGCATTGCTTTGTGTTTGTAGTTTGCTGAGCTCCTACCGTAGGTTGTTTTTCACTCAACTTATTTTAAGATTTGGTCATACCGTTAAAGTTTCCCTCCTTCCTTCCACCAGGCTAAGTAGCTTTTTTTATTTGAGAAAGCCAGGATTGCAAGGGACTTAGGAGTTGGCACTGGGGCTCTTCTTACCGAAGGTGGGCACAACATTGACAAAACTCTGGTTGTACTGCATCCTCTGCCCGGCCTGGCCTGGCCTGTCTTCCTCCTCCTCCTCCTCATCCTCCCCCCTCTCCCTTCTTCCCTCCAGCTCCTTCCTTTCCCCTTCACCTCTTTGGCCACCTTCGGAGTTTGATCCAGCACACTTTCCCAAGGAAACACCATGGACTTTACCTCCAAGCATGCGGCTGGCAACTTCCAGAGTGGCCAGGACCTCCAGCCCTCACTGGCCCAGGGTAACCTCAACCTCCAGGGGTGTGCCTGCCAGGAGCACAGTTTGACTTTCCAGGTGATGCTCTCCAGCGAGGCTACCTGGGCCTTGGGCTGGGCGACCATCTCCCAGTGGGTCACCTTGATGGTGTGTAGCTCCTGGGTGCGGACAAAGAGCTGCATGTTGGTGCCTGAACCTCGGCCTTGACTGTCGCTACCATGAAGATGGAGTTGAGAAAGCGCCCATTACAGTTCCTTATGCATTGTTTTAAGTTGTGGTGTAATCTGCCGTTGTCGACGCAGTCATTTCCCTATGGTTACTTATTTATTTCCTTTTCCACATTATTAGAATTAGGGCTGTCATAAATATATTTGGGCCATAATTCTCCATCTGCCTTTATTTTAACCTGAATTCCTCGAAGTGGGATTACTGGACCAAGAGTAATCTCTTGATACTGATGCCAAATTGCTTTCAGAATGGTTCTATCAGCTTGCATTTCCATCACAGTGTACTCTTGCCCGCACTGAGTATTGGCATTTAAAAAAAAATCACTAAATTTGCTAGGCAAAATTAATAAAAAATACATAAAATAAAAGAGAGGGGGAAGGAGGGAGGCAGGAGTATTAGTTTGAACGTTTTAAATGTTTATTTGCCACTTCTGTTTTTTCTATGGAAAATTATAGTTTTAATCTTTTACCTTTTTTTGGTTGGGTTTTTAGTGTGCTTCTTACTACTGGTTTGTTTTGCACTCCCCACATATTAAAGATGCTTAATTTGTCACTATTTATTCAACACATCTTTTGCCAAACGTGTTGAATGATGCGAATGCAGTTATGAGCAAGGCTGAAATGATTATGATTCCTGCCTTTGTGGAACTTAAGACATGTTAAGTAATTTTATGCATAATTATGATGGTGACAGATGCTATAAAGAAGTACAGGATACAGTGAGACTGTATAACAGAAAGACACAGGCTGGCCTGCGGCAGAGCTTGGCAAACAACAGGGCGCTGCTTGTTTTTCTAAATAAACTTTTATTGGAACACAACCATGCTCATTCTTCTACAAAGTGTCTGTGGCTGCTTTCCCGCTATGCTGGCATTGAGTGGTTTCAGCTGAAACACTGTGTGGCTTATAAACCTAAAACGTCTACTGTCTGGCTCTCTACACAAAAAGTGTGTTGATTCCTGGTCTAGCGGGTCAGGGCAGTCTTCCCTCAGGCATGTTTAAAGTTGGGCTTAGAGTTGAGTGCTCAGTAAATGAAGAGGTCCGGGGAGGGAGTTTTCTGGGCAGAAGGACTAGGCAGGTGACAGCCCCAGAATGGGAAGGAGCATGCGTGTTTGGAGCACTGGCAGAAACCGTCAGTGCAGCTTATCAGGTGGGAGCTTATCAGGCAGGCCTTAGAAGCCGTGTTAAGGTTTGGTCTTCAAGTTCAGAGTAGCGGAGAACGTCAGAGGGCTCCGAGCAGGGCATGTATTGGACCACATGTGCGAATGAAATCAAGTACAGTCAGGGGCACACAGCAACACTTCAGCTAACCACGGACGGCGTGAATGCCGGTAGCCCCGTACGATTATCATCCTGTGTTTTTACAAGCTTAGACACACAAATACTTACCTTTGTGTTACCCCTGCCTGCAGGATTCAGTACAGTGAGATGCTGTCCAGGTTTGTGGCCCAGGAGCAATAGGCTGTACCGTGTGGAGGAGGCTGGACCACGTAGGTTTGTGTAAGTGCACTCTATGATGTTCACACAGCGACGGAATTGCCCAGTGGTGTGTTTCGCAGAAGGTTTCCGTGTTGTTAAGAACGCTGAGTGTAGTGTGGGGAACGGATCGGAAGAGGCATGTGTGGACCTCAGGAGCCCCCGGGAGGCTCTTGCCACTCCAGTGGGAGTGGAGAGAACTGCACGTATTCCTGAAATGTTTAGAAGGTCGATTGTGTAGAATGAGTGGGTGGGGGTGGCTCCAAGCAGAGGAGCAGAGAGTAATGCCATTTATTGAGAGTAGGGTCACTAGCACTGAATGCTTTTTGGAGAAGGTACATTTGGCATGTTGAGTCTGAGGTACCTTTAAAGACATCCGAGTGCAGGTGTCAGGCAGGTAGCTGGAAATCTCAGGATTCAAGTGTCACTGCACACCAGAATCACCCGGCTAAGGGCTGATGAGATACGGTGCCAGCTTCCCACCCACCACTGATTCTGTTGGTCTGGGATGGAGCCCAGGCATGCTGCTTTCCAGAGGTCTCCAGGTGTTTCTGTGGCCCTACTGAGGTTGAGAACCAGTGGCACGGAGCAGGCAGGTAGCTGGAAATCTCAGGACTGGGAGCAATTAGCATGATGGTACCAATGCCAGCATTTGAAGGTTCAGGTAGGGGAGGAAGAACTGGCAGGAAGACATGAAGGGAAGTGGTCAGTCGGTGTGATGTTCTGGGGGGCAGAGGCAGAGGACTTGGAGAAATGATCGCCTGTGTTGAAAACTGCTGGAAGGTCAGGCAAGGTGAGGACTGGCCATTGTCCATTGGATCTGTAAGCTTGGTGACTGTTTATGCTGGCTGAGGAATGAATGTGGATGGTGAACAGGGAGAACTTGGGGTAGGAGCCCTTTTGAGAAGAGTCGTGAAGGGGAAGAGAGTGTGTAAAAGCTGGAGGAGAGTAGGAGGGGAGGGAAGGTTTGTGGGAGAGTCTTGATGATGGGAAGGAGGAGGTGTGGGCCAGTGGTTCAAGTGTCTCTGCACGCCAGAATCACCTGGCAAGCGGTTGATGAGATACGGTGCCAGCGCCCCACCCACCATTGATTCTGTTGGTCTGGAATGGAGCCCAGGCATGCTGCCTTCCAGAGGTCTCCAGATGATTCTAAGGTCCTACCGAGGTTGAGAGCCAGTGGCATGGAGCAGCGGTTCTCATACTGTGGTCCCAGTCAGCGGCTTCAGCATCACCTGGGAACTTGTTGGAAATGCAGTTCTCGGATGTCACCAGCTGATGCTGATGCACACCAGTGTTTGAGAACCACTACTGTAAAGAACAGTCTACACACTGAGGAGTCAGAGCCCCGTAGAGCCACCTGGCATGTCCCTATTTGCACTTCGTGAGTGTCTCAGTCCTGTCTCCAGGCTTTGAGTATTTTAAACTGTATTCAGTGCTCAAAAAGAGTCCATAGTCCCACATTCTGTCTCAGTTAAAATTAAATTTGGGTTTTGAGGAAAATGATGTTGTCCAGAGCCATGCGATCTGGGTCCTGGCTTCAAGTTCATTTCAAAAAGATGTTCTGGTAAGCTGGTAAATAGCCTAGATGGGCTCTAACTCGTCTAATCTCACTTCCTCTGAAAACACCCAAGCTATAGTAAAGGGATTTTAAAAGTCATCAGTTACTCTAAGATAAGTCCAGGAAAGGAAACAAGATCAGCCAAACGCGAGAAGCTAGGAAACAGATGGAGCAATGCTAACTGGCGTAACCTAGAAAGCCAGAATCCCAAGTGTGGGGGGAGCCCAGGAACAGCTCTTCACTGTTTGGGCGGCAGACTCCTCAAAGGCTCAGTGGAGGGTGTCTCCAGAACTGGAGGCCGGGCTAAAAGAAATAAGACCAGGGCACGAAGCTGCACTCCCTCACTGCCCTGCGCCCCCCCAGGCAGAGGTCTGGAAGTTGATTCCCTGGAGAGGTGAGCAGGTGTGTGGAGTGAGGGCTGCCAGGCCTGATGGGGGATGTAGGACCCCCCGGCAAGGGGCTTTGCATACCGGTGCCGAGGATGGAAAGACAAGCAAGGGCTGGAGGTCGTGGCAGAACAAGGGTGACATGCAGGTGAGCACGGATGCTGGGAGAATGGGCTGGTGGCCGGGTGGAGGGGGATCGCTGGACTGGAGACGTGGGGACAGCACTGCGGGTTCCCGAGTGTGTTGCCGAGAGTGGACGGGCCGGGGGGGGCAGAAATGCCACCGGAGATGTGTCAGTCCAGGGATTGAGACGGCAGAGTGTTGGATGGGCCACCTACCTGACGCTTCAGAGCTCCTTTGGGGTATGGAGAGGAGGGCGGAGGCAGGTACCCAAGTAAGGAGCCTCTTTGGAGGGCACGAGGGCCGTGCCCTGAGGGCCTTCCGTCTTGAGTAGCACTGCGGTGGCCTGAGTCCCTGCCGTGTCCAGCAGGATAGCAGATGTTTGGGCTGACGGTTCCGCTCTAGCCCGACAGGGTGTGGGCACCTGGGCACGTGTCGCTTCCCCCTGTGGTCCTGGTTGGCAGGTGCAGCAAGGAAGAACCTGGGCTTCTTCATGTACGCCCCGCCCCACGTGGGAGGGAAGGGGGAGCCAGGTGGTCCTGAGGGTGGTGGGCTGAGCCGCAGCGGGTCAGTTTACACCTTTCTCAGAGCAAATGTAGCGAGCGCTGTGCTTCCAAACAAATATGTGTTGTAGCCGGGCTCCGTGGCTCAGCCTGTAATCCCAGCACTTTGGGAGGCTTAGGTGAGTGGATTGCCTGAGCCCGCGGGTTCGAGACCCGCCTGGGAAACTCGGCGAGACCTCATCTCTACAATAAAATAAGATTAAAAATTAAAAACAAAAACAACAACAACAAAAAACCAAATATGTGTTGTTCTCCTTTTAAAGCATTTATGGAAAGCAGACATCCAGGTGTTTAAGGTTTGTGCTTAGCTTCACAATAAAAATTTCAAATGCAATTGGCCCCATTGCTCAGTGCTGTAGAACTCTGAAGCATCCATTTGAGGCTGTCTCTGGCATGGGGCTAATGGGTCATCCAAGGTGAATCCACACTGTGAGTGGATCAGGGTCAGACCCAGGATTTCCACACTGGACTGTGTCCGACTAGTCCACAGCGAAGGCTCTGGGGGTACCTTGAGTGGGGGGAACCCTTTAGAGAAATCCCAGACAGCTCACGAGAGACTCTTCAAGGCTTTAGCGAGGCAAGTCCCACGATGGCTTTGTTTTTCTTCCCATTTCTCTCACTTCGGAGAGACAATGTTTGCAAGGCTCTCTCCATGGACAAAAGTTGACATGCCACCTAATTCTGCTCCTTGTATGCATGTGTTTCATGCCCTAAATTTTATGACGCATCTCCGGCTTTGCTGTTGGTTCTCACGTAGTTTGCCCTTCTGTTGCAGCTGTATTACCAGGTGTTGAACTTTGCCATGATCGTGTCTTCTGCACTTATGATATGGAAGGGCTTGATTGTGCTCACGGGCAGCGAAAGCCCCATCGTGGTGGTTCTGAGGTAGGTGCTGGGTCCGAGGAGCCGGGCAGCCTTGAGTGACAGATGGGATTCGGGGTTTTAGTTGGATACATTGTAAGAGCCTTTGTTATTGGCATCTTTTTTCCTGGCTTTTCTTAAAATCTTATGTTTTTTAATAGCATCTTAGAACTTTAATCATGTTGATGCTAGCGCGTTTAATCCACTTAAAATGACAATTTAATAATATGGTATTAATGCATTAGTGTACAAGCGGAACATAACTAACTTTAAAAGGTTACTTGGAGCCGGGCTCGGTGGCTCAGCCTGTAATCCCGTGCTTTGGGAGGCTGAGGTGAGTGGATTGCCTGAACCCACGGGTTTGAGACCCACCTGGGCAACTTGGCGAGACCTCATCTCTACAATAAATAAAAAAAATTAGCCGGCGTGGTAGTGCATGCCTGTAGATTCGGTTCCTTGGAAGGCTGAGGTGGAAGGATCGCCGGAGCCCAGCAGGTCGAGGCTGCGGTGGCCGGGAGCGGCCACTGCACTCCAGTCTGGGCAACGGAGTGAGACTCCAACTCAAAAAAAAAAAAATGTTACTTGGTTTTCTTTGTACCATTTAGGCAGGGAATGTGTATCCTGGGTGCTTAGCATTGTGTCTAGTCTTTTTCAAGCTTCTTCAGTAATTCTGGTATAGATGGATACTGTCTTTTGTGAAATTATTATGCCTGTAACAGTAGTGCATGTTTATTTTAGAAAAGTTGATACCAGAGTTAACTTCATGCAGCCATAGAGTTATCCAAGGGGAAAAACTTAACAGTCAATTTGAAATCAAATAACTGCGTTTGGGAACCAAGATGCTTTCTGTCGAGTGTGTCTTAGATCGCTGACTCTGTCTGTTGTTTTATAGATGGCATGGTAGGCTGTAGCGGTAACTTGGGCAGAGTCACAGCTGACCAGTACAGGAGCCAAGGCCAGCGCACAGGGCTCCCGGCACCCAAGCCAGTGCCCTTTCCCTCCACTGGGCCCTGCCACTATGCCACGGGGCTGTAGCCATGACCCATGCTTCGCCAGGCTGCCCTTGTGTGACAAGGGCACACTTCTAGAGATACAGAGTTTTCATGAATGTGGAAGTCTGAGGGTAGCATGTCATACAGCAGAACTGAGGGAACCTCTGATTCACTGGTGTTCACCCTGTGCTTGGAGAGTCCCCTGGGATTCCAGCGGATAAGTTAGAAGGGAGAAGGGGCCCACGCTCAAGGATTCCTGACCCCTTAGCCTGACTTTAGTTGTGACAGCTCTGTGTGTTCTTTGTGGTTATACTTCCCAGAAAGATTTCATTTGAAGGAAGGATTTTAAGACTTTAAAAAAGAAGAAGGAATTTAAAACCTCAAGTTTAGATGGGCTCCCTCGCCTAACAGATAAGGAAGCTGAGGCCTGCAAGGCCAAGGCATAAGCATCTTGCAGTTTCAGCAGAGTCAATATGAAATCTGAGATGCCCGGGCTTTCCTCAAATCACAGTGACACACTTGCACTCTGAAGTCATTGTGAAATGGCTATACCTAGGGACTTTTTATTTGAAGTATCCTTTATAGTGCTAACGCAGTTTGATTTGTCAACGTAAATCATTGACATCCCTGAGCGATGTATGGCCTTGGGGAAGCCCTCTTACCTTGGGGCCAAACTCCGGGGCACTCTTCTGCCTCTGGCTTGTGCAGGAGGCTCTGCCTAGCTTCAGATCCAGATGGCTTCCCATTGTGTATTTCCACACTTTCCCTTTGTGTATGTTTAGGAATTTTATTAAGGAGTAAAGATAAGATGTCAGTAAAGAAATTATCTTAAGCATTTTATTTTAGCTATTGTTTTTAAAAAGAAAACAAAACCCTGAAGCAATTTTATTTTATTTTCAGAAGAAGACAAAATAAAAATTCCGGGTTGGAGGACAGAAACCTCCCCTTTTTTTGAGTTGGTGTCTCTCTCTTGCCCAGACTGGAGTGCAGTGGCACGATCATGGCTTACCATAGTCTCAAACCCCTAGGCTTGAGCAAGCCTCCCTCCTCAGTTTCCTGAATAGCTGGCACTACAGGCGTGTGCCAACATATCTAGCTATTTTTTAAATTTTCTTTTAGAGACCAGGTCTCACTATGTTGTGCAGACTGGTCTCGAATTCCTGGGCTCAAGCAGTCCTCCCACCTCGGCCTCCTAAAGTGCTGAGATTACAGGTGTGAACCATCGCGCCTGGCCCCTAGAATTGTTTTTACTCAGATATTTTCTTTCTGTCTCTCTTAGCCAGTTCTTTTCCAGCCCTTTCTCCCTTTTTATCGAGATTTCTTGTTTTTGCATGCTGGATCCATTTCCATGTTTAGTGGCACTGTTTCACTTACACATGAACCTGTAAGCAGGTACTTTGTGCCTGGCTGCGTTTTTCCTTGCTGCCTCCTGCGCCTGCCAAGACGTTCAAGGTGGGCCAGGGCTGGAGGAGCAGAGGGCTGCTGCTTGGGGTGCTCCCGTGGGGAGCCACGTTCCCTTCAGGGTTCCACCTGGCTGTGGTATCCTGGTCCTGTCTCCCCTTTCTTCCTATCCAACAGCCATTACTCGCTTATCCTTGATCGCACAGCCCCGGTCAAGCCTTATTCCTAGGTTTCATTATTTTCTCATTAATTAAAACAAAGTGAGAATATACACAATGGGTTGTTTACATTTTAGTATCTGGGAGATTGTTTACACAAAAGATTGTTGTGGCGTGTGTTTAAATTGGTGTCACCTTCCACATGACAACCAGTCAATGCTTGTTAGGAATGGTTTTTTGTAGAGCATGATGGAAAGGATGATGCCTCAGGAGCAAAAGATTTGGGTTCAAATGTTACCCCCACCCTCAGCTTGGCTCTGGGCAGATCGTGCTCCCTCGGCGTGTTCACCTGTCTGTTCCACATTCCTTGAGCAGTGTTGCAGTACCCAGGAACTGGGGGTACACTGTAAACAGCAAAGATCGCCCTAGAGTATCGACCAGTTGTAAGAGTTCTGAAGGAAAATACCGGGTGCGAGACTGTTTTTAAAGCTAAAAATGGGCAGTTTTTAACTGCAGAGTCCACATTATTCTCGGTTCTTTTCCTACCTACTACAGACTGCAGAGAGTCCTACTCGTGCCCATTTCAAACTTAGGTCTAAGTAGAAATTGTTTCCTTTTTCACATACTGTTGTCACTTGAGCAGTCAGGAGGAAGCCACTGTGGCTTGTTTTATAGCTCCTGAGACTTGACTGTTGATGAGAGTTTCTGCCCTAACTGCTGTTTTTATTCTTAATGCCTTTTGGGCACAGGGTAACGCTGATGTCGATTTTGTGCTTCTTTCCAGTGGCAGCATGGAGCCGGCATTTCACAGGGGAGACCTCCTGTTCCTCACAAATTTCCGGGAAGATCCCATTAGAGCTGGTGAAATCGTTGTTTTTAAAGTTGAAGGACGAGACATTCCAATAGTTCACAGAGTCATCAAAGTTCATGAAAAGTAAAGAGGCTTTACTTCTTTGGGGTTTTGTAAACTTTCAGTAAATAGTTCTCATGGTTAATTAGAAAGTAGTCAAAGCACTGGATTGCGTTTCTTGTTTTGCTGTCTACCGACTAGTTGGCTTTAGGCCAGCAATTTAATTCATTCTGTGAGACGGGAGTGGTAATATTTTACCCACAATAACTCACAGAGTAACTATGAGAATTAAATGAGCTAATATTTACTAGAGCACTTTGAAAACTTAAATTGCTGCACATATATAAGGTGTAACTATTATAACATGTTAGTTGTTAAGGAGCACATAGAAAATTAAATCACTTTGTCACAGGATTATTGTGATTCGAAAATTATTTTCTCAAATGCAGAAAAGTTGGTTGTTTCTCTGTGTCACTTTGGCCAAGGTGGCATTCTCAACAGTACTGTTAGCCCTGAATGGATAAGAATTCCTGTCCCCAACTCCTCCAGTGATTTGGCCTTGCATATCTTTCCCTACAAACAGCCTCACCTTTCTCTTAAGTACCGGTGATGGCTTACTCACAAAGACCCTTTTTAGAAAACAGAAACGTTTACTTCTAGCTCAAACATATACAGTTTCCACGAGAGAGCACTTCACATGATTGATTAGTGAAAATGTTAACATTTCATTCACAACTTCTTCAAGGTGTTTCTCAAAGATGTTGATACTTACAAGATTCACTTAGTATTCTCTAAACAGAACAATCCAGTTTCCGATTGTGTTACTATACTGGCGTTGTGCTAACAGGTTACTTGGTGTCCCTTGTTAGCCTACTGAGAAAGAAGCATACTCAGTTATAATGTGACAGTACGCTCACCTGATTTAAAAATAATTTCTAAAGATGATAAATTGTTCAAAGTTGAGGAAATGATGATTATTTGCTGTAATTTGCATGAATTATGTGAGACTGTCAGAATTTTTACGCTCTTGATTTCCTAAACAATCAGGGCTGCAAATCAGCTTGCTCTTTTTGCATTTTTTCATTTGTCTTATTGAAAGAAGACCCTGTCTGTAGCTCCATAATACCACAATATTGTGTTCTAGTGTCAAGGCTCTCTGAGCAGCAGTTTAGAATGTTTAAAGTTAATCCCACATGCCTTTGCAACACACTGGTTTTATGCCATTTATGATTCTTGTTTCCTTGCAAATTAGACTTCATACCACTATGCTCAGTGACGAGGGAGATGATGCATTGACACATTCTGCATTTGGCAAGGAAAACTAAGTTTGAGGACAGCTAAGAGCACACTTGCATTTAAATTACCTTGTGCTCAAGTCTGTATGATTGAGAACCAAATTTATCTCTAGAGTGAAGAGGAATATGATCCACATTAACAGTTGGCCCAGAGGACTGAGAAGGAGTGAAGACAGTTCAAGTCCAACACAGCTTGTTAAGTCAGCCTCATGTTTTGTCTTCTGGCCTAGTCTGACTTGCGGCAAATAACTAAAATAAGCCTGGAAAAGTTCACTGTCCTGCAATATTTTGAAGTATTATGAGTCTATAATGAAAGAATTACATGGTAGTTATTTATATGATTTTGCCCACTGAAGAATGACACTGATTCTCTTTTTTTATTATTATTATTAAAAATAAGGTAGGTTCTAGTTTTTTCTTCATTTCAAGAAGAAATGAGGTGAAAAGTAATTCTTTATTGGATGCGGTGCTGGAAGCAAATCATTGCCCTTGTGCTTGACCATGCTTTTTGGTTGTCTAGGTTACTTGAGTGTTTCAGAATTTAAGTCTACAAAATTGTCATTAGATTTGTGCTTCAATTGAATGGTTATCTGTAAGCATTTGTCTTAGACCAAAGGAAGGTCAAGTTATCTTTGACTGCTTTTCTAAATGCTCATGTCTGACAGTAAAGTCTTGGGTAGATGAATATTTAAAAAATGATTATGTGCTGAAAATAATTTTTGAGAGGACATTGTTTTGTTTTCCAGAGATAATGGAGACATCAAGTTTCTGACTAAAGGTGATAATAATGAAGTCGACGACAGAGGCTTGTACAAGGAAGGCCAGAACTGGCTCGAGAAGAAGGACGTGGTGGGCAGAGCCAGGGGGTGAGGGTTTGCTCTGAGTTATATGAGAGGGCCAGAAGCCAGAAAACATTTAGAAAAAAGAAATGGAATGTGTAGGATAATAGACTCGGTTATTACCAATATGATCTGTCAGGAGAGTTCTAAGCTGTTTTAGTTTGTATTGTGAAGACTAAATGAAACTCAGAACTTCCTAAAGGCCTAAAATCTAAAACTGATTCCAATGATATAATCTATATCATGAGTTTAATTCTATTTAAATTCTCACCTGGAGATTAGTTATTTATGCCTCTTAAATAACAATTAGAAGGAGTCTTCCCAGAGATGACCAGTGTTTAACATTTTGGTGAACGCTGTAGGTACTCTCTGTGCCTGTACACATGTGTATGTGTTTATATAATTTTATCTAGAAGAATTTGATTTTTTTCACCCAACAGTAAGCTAGAAATAACTCTTTGTGTCCAATCTATTCTATTTTAATGGCTGCCTCCTGTTGAGAATCATGGCTTATTTAACCTATCCTCTTTTGGAGGACATTTAGATTATTTATTTTTCATGACTAAAAACAGTTCCATGATAAATCTTTTATTTACTTATTTTTTTGAGTTGGAGTCTCACTTTGTCGTCCATGCTGGAGTGCAGTGGCATGCTCACAGCCGCCCCAGCATCACCTGCTGGGCTCAGCCGATCCTTCCGCCTCAGCCTTCCAAGTAGCCGGAACTATAGATGCGCGCTACCACGCCTGGCTAATTTTTTGATTTTTATCGTAGAGATGAGGTCTCGCCAAGTTGCCCAGACTGTTCTTGAACCATGGGCTCAGGCAATCTGCTTACCTTGGCCTCCCAATCCAAAGTGCTGGGATTACAGACATGAGCCACTGCGCCCGGCCATTTTAAAATTTTTTTGAGTTGGGGTCTCACTCTGTTGCCCAGGCTGGAGTGCAGTGGCACAATTGTGGCTCACCGCAGATTCGACCTCCTGCGCTCAGGTGATCCTTCCACCTCATCTTCCCAAGTAGCTGGGACTACAGGCACGTGCCACCATGCCTGGTTTACTTTTTAACGAGGTCTCTCTATGTTGCCACAGGCTGGTCTCAAGCTCCTGGGCTCAAGCAGTCCTCTCATCTCGGCCTCCCAAGACGCTGGGACTGTGGGCATGAGCCACCGTGCCTGGCAGCACATCTTAACATTCATGTTTGTATAATTATACAGCAGAGAGTGTATTTTCTCATTAAAAAACCCCAAAAAGAGAATCTTCTCCTCCCTCGGGGACACTTTTGATGTGTAACACTTGTTAGAAATATTTTCTTTTTATCTCATCTAAATCTCACCTGCTCCTAAAATCGGAGCTACCGTTTTCTGAGGTTTAACTTTGTTAAGAGGTACCTATACCCCTTCCTACCCTTTTAACCATTTTTTTCCGTTGCATTTCCACTTGACTGTTTCTGGCGAGCCCAGGAGGGCCCCCACTAGTCAGTCCTGTCTTTCCAGACACTCTGCTGAAAGGCTTTGGATAAGAGAGAGGTCGGAGTTACTGATTTATCTAAGATTGGAGGGCATGGTGTGTGTTATCTTGTTTCACTTGCAGAGATGGCTGAGGCCTGGGTCAATCTGGTTACTTACTGCTTTTCATTCTGTCAGCACAATCATTGACTGCTTTGTATGCTGGACATTCTCTCTGGGATCATGATCATCTCGAGTATAAGTTATGATATTCACATTGGTATTCACGGCCCAGTAAACTTGTTTGCTGCATCTCAAAAACACAGGGAAGCAAAAATGATGATACTTTAAATTATCCATGTGCTTTAAAAGGTTTTTCTAACAGAAGTTTTTATGTAGGTTATCTGAATCTCCTAAAAAACATAAGAACTAGATTCGTGAAAGTTGTCTATTCTGTTTATACAGATGGCTTGACTAGTTATTTTAATAGTGGCAAGTGACAACAAGTAGCATCACTAGCTCAAGTCCTGTGCCCACTTAAGAAATTCACCCTGGCTGTTAGCTCTGATGTTCTTCACTAATAGAGCTTCTTGAGATAGGTGTAAATATTGTCCCCAATCAGAGGCATTTCCATGTAAGATTTGTTTCCTAAGGCTGATTTATGGTGTTTTCAGATGTTGCTGTCATCATATTATAAACAATTTTTATGTTTCTTGCTTTTTCTTCCACAATTTAGGTTTTTACCATATGTCGGTATGGTCACCATCATAATGAATGACTATCCAAAATTCAAGGTAAGAATTTTTGTGTATTTAGTTTTTTAAATACTGGAGCTTTTACTTGTACAACCCAAGATCCAGTCTTCTCAAAATGTTTTGCCATTAATTTTTCTGCAGAGTAATTGTAATTAACTACAAATTAACAATCATTTAAAGTATCAACATTTAAATTAATTATTTAAAATAGCACTTTCACCATTTGTGTTCACAGTATATTCTAAAATGGCATTCATATAGTTGTTGTTTTTTATTATGGAAAATTTCAGACATACAAAAATAGTACCGTAAACCCAATCATGCTTACCCCGACTTCCAAATGGTGTCTGTATATTTTTTTAAATCCCCAGAAAAACAATAGAAAACCTTCACAGGGAGAAGCACTTCATTAGATGTGTTTGTCAGGTGTTTAATCTTTAGTCTATCAATATGCTCTGGGTTTTTTTTTTTTTTTACCATAATGTGGCATGGGAGCAAGAGGTCACCTTTTGATTCTGTCCTCAGCCCAGTTTGAGCAGACTTCATCTGAATACATCGCTAGACCAGTTGTATTTGTGGACCTCACAGTAACTTTCCATTGTGTTGTCTTTACAGTATGCTCTTTTGGCAGTAATGGGAGCGTATGTGCTACTAAAACGTGAATCCTAAAATGAGAAGCAGTTCCTGGGGCCAGATTGAAATGAATCTGCTGAAAAAGAGAAAAACTAATATATTTGAAATGTTTCATTTCCTGTATAAAAAGAAACAGTGTGGGGATGTTTCTGTCTTGTCCAAATAAATGATCCGTCAGTAGAGATGGCTTTCTTTTGTGGACTCTGATTTGAATTTGCTCAGTCTCTCTGCCGATTGTGACAGACAAGGGTCTACGCCGCTTCCAGAAACAGGCAGGCCACTCATGGGCCTAGCCTGCCGGTGGGTACATGCTCAGTCCACGTGGATCGTTGTGATGTCTGTGTTTCAAAAGTAAAATTCTTAATAAAGTGGCATTTCTGAGAAAAAAAAAGGAGATGGTTTCTTATTTGTTAAAGTATAACCTGATAATAAAGTCTAAAACCTTTTAGAAGGGATGCAGTCTACTTTTTTGTGGTGTGCTATGTTAAGATGGTTTGTGAAATGATTTGAAAAGTGTTTAATAAATGATAAAATCGGTGCATACACCTTTGAGAAATTGCAAAAACCACAGAAGGGAAAAGGGTGAAAATCGCAAAAACTAGAAAAGTCCCTTTCCTCAGTCTCCCCTTTCCATTTTTCCAGGGATCTCCACCATTAAATTAGACATTTGCATTGGGTGTGTAAGTATTGTGCGTAAAATAGTCTTGCATTCCAATATTTACTGAGCACATTTCTCCCAGCCGCTGTCTCAGGTGCCGGAGGAGCCCAGTCCCAGCCCTGGGGGAGCTTCCGGTGGAGTGGGAGATGGTGATCATGGCCATGAGGAGAGACAAAACAGCATGGGTGGATAGAGGTGACTCTGCTTTCCAGACAGAACTCAGGGGAGGCTTCCCCCAGGAGGCGATGGCAAGTGGAATTCAAAAAAATGAGAGGGAGAGAGGCATGCAAGTCTGGGGAGAGGCATTTCAGCACGTGGGAACAGCAAGGGCAGGAGCCCTGGGGACGGATGCTACCAGCAGGCCAGGGCACTTCTCCTCGAGCTTTGAGGAGCCGCAGACCACCGGCCTGGTGTTCACCACTGATTCCGACTGGGGCGGGGCTTGAGACTCTGCATTTCTTTCTTTTGTTTATTGATTGACAATCCCACCTTTTTTTTTTCTTTTTAATTTTTATTATAAAGATGTGGGGGTACATTTCAGGGTTAGGTATATAAACACTGATCATGCAGGTCCCCTTGTGGATGAGGTATGCCCCTCCCTCCCCTGGCAGTTTCCCTCAACTGCCAATCCCACCCCCCCGACAGTTTTCCACTACTGCCAATTGCTTTCTTATAGCATTATAATTGTTCAAGGTCCGCTTATGAGTGAGAACTCTGTTCTTTGTTTCTGTGATCGATCACTGAGTATGGTCGACTCCTGGATTTGAACTCTGCACTTCTAACCCCCTCCTAGAGGGACATTGATGCCGCTACCCAGACCATCCTTTGCAGGGCGAAGTGTTAGAGGAATAACAAGGAGGCCAGTGAGGCTCTACAACACACTCTTTAGTCTTACAAAAATGTTATTTTCCCAAACGCTATGATGCTGGCATTTTCAGTCAAAACTTACTCTTTGCTTCATGTTGTGGAAGAAGGCTAAAAACAAACAACAAAGAAAAAACCCACGCATCTACCTGATAGTTTTAGGTTTGTTCAATTCTGATCTAAGAATTTAGGATCCCTGAAAGTCCCTTAGTCACCGACGTGGCCTCAAGCAAGTCACTTAACTTCCCCCAGTCTCAGGGGGAGGATAAGACCTGCACTTACCAAGTCGGCCTGTCCCTGACATGCACACAGTATTCGCTCAAGAGACGGTCCCCATCATTACTTGCGTTTTCCTTTTCAGTGTAGACCTGTGCACACCTGCATGGTTGCTGTTCCTGAGTGGGTACCTGACAGGAGTGACCCACTGGGAGTAGCTTGCCCTTAATAGGACCCCATCTGTGGGGGTCAGCAAAGTGAAAGAAAAAACGGTTGACGACATACTTTCTAAAAACATTATTCACTGTGTCCTTTAGTGAACTGCTTTCTTAAGAAAAATGGATTTCTCTTAACTAAAAATGGCATTTCAAAATGCTGGGTCAAAACTTCATTATTTTATCATCTTTTTGGGACTCTGTAGTCGGTTAATATAAACTTTACAGAAGCTCTTAGCCTGGCTCAGCTTTTTGGTAATTCTTTGGACGTGCCTCACATTCTGAAATGAACTTTACAAAGACACCCAAGAGCCCTGATATGGCTCAGTCAGTGCCATTGAATTGTGGATTTCAGCGACAAAGATCTCTTTTGACCTTTTCGAAGCTATCGGTCCTTATAAAATGGAAATGACGGCAGTTAAGGTTGGAGGGAAGTTCTTTTACCTGGGGGTCTTAGAGGCAGCCTCCACGTCTGGAACATGTTAACAGGAACCTAGACTGCAACATCCAGCTTGCTTGCAGTTAGTCATTGGCTAGAACGTCTTCCTGGGAGTTTTTGGATCTTCATGGGACAGGTGTTTCACATCTTGGGCAACTGCTTTTCCACAATAGCTGAGAAGTATCAAAGCAGAGTGCTTCCAGTAGACACAGGCCAAACAGGCAACACCCACTGAGAAGGGAACAGATGAACTATAAAAAAAAAAAAGCAAGGATTTCAGGATGCCACCAGCCGTAGGGACAGTCCACAAGGGTCTGTGCTTGCTATACTGTGTTTAATATCAATTTAGGTTTCCATCAAAACTGGAGGGTTTCTACTCTAGGATAAGCTTCAAGTTTTCCAAGAGATTCATGGTAGAATCTCAGATTTCCTAACCCACAGGCCCTACCCCTGGTATTCCACAACTTTCCCCTTTGACAGTGTATTAATATTATGCAAATACTAGAAAACCACAGCTTCAGGTGTCTGTACGAGCACGCGTGCACACAAACACTCCAACAACCAGACTGGGGTCACTAAACTGCCTCTCTCTTAAGATTTTGGACCTGTCCTTGTCCCAAGCACAGCTGGCGAATGAGGCGTTGTTGGGAAGAGGAAGAAGTCCAACCTTTCTAAGTAAGCAAGGTAGAAGGATCTTTAAATTAGGGAAGCAAGCCTGGGTGTCTGCACTTTAAAAACTCCCTAGGTAATGAATGTGCAGCCAGAACCGAGAACCACCAAGAAACAGACGTCTGCACAAATTAGTTGGGAAGAAATGTGATTAGGATGCTTGGTGGTTCATGTCTTTCTTCTCATCTTCATGAAGTTATTTTCAGACTGGACGATAGGAAAAAAACAGAAATGTGCAGTATCCATGTGCCATTCTGTCGCCACCCTTTCCCACACCAAATGGATGCTAACCTCTCAATGAATGTCATCTGGTTTCTATGGGAGCAGCTAGTCCAAAGTAACCTTTGACCCGGGGGCACCTGACAGTCAGTTGAGTCTTATCCTGAAATTCTGGGCAGAGATCCATCCATCACCATCCAGAACTCAGCAGCTTCCTTCTGTTTTAAATGAGCTGTATGGGGTGAAGTAGGGGTGAGGTGGGATAGAAGGAGGCGTTGGGAGTCATACGGAGGTTCAATCCTGTAAACATTGGGAGTCTGTAGCCAACTCAAACTCAGTTTCCCTCTCTCCAGAATTAGCGTCAAGGCAGGTCAAGGCTTTATTGGATGCCTGGATTTAATCAGGGCGTTACTCTTTCTTCCTCAAGATCACTTGAGGTTGAATGCTTAGAATTAATTAACTAAAGTCTCCCAATCCTCTTGAACATTCTTCCCTGTTGTTTTTGGCCATGAAATTCTCCCCATATTTTCTCAGATTTTTTCTTTCTTTTTTTTGAGTCAGGATTTCTGTTGCACAAGACTGGAGTGCAGTGGTATGATCACAGCTCACTGCAGCCTCGACCTCTTGGGCTCAAGCAAACCTCCCGCCTTGGCCGCCTGAGTACCTGGGACTACAGGTATGCACTGCCGTACCGGGCTATTTTAACTTTTTAATTTTTTTGTAGAGACAAGACCTCTCTCTGTCATCTAGTCTGGTCTTGTACTCCTGGGCTCAAGCCATTTTCCCGCCTCTGCCTCCCAAAGTGCTGGGATTACAGGTGTGAGCCACTGTGCCTGGCCATTTTCTCAGATTTTTAGATCTGCCTGCTTACACGGTTGCAGATGTATCCCATGACAGAGACATTTTTCCCAGAGCCCCTGCTTTTAGTCACGTGGAGTGTCAGGATGGTGCGGGAGAGCAGAAACCCCTTTACGCTGAACCTTGCCTTTGCACCAGTGCCATGCCAGGATGGGAATGAATACAACCTCCACGTGTGCTGTGACCAGGTCTTCTGTTGCAGGATTCCCTCTGGGCTTCCTCTCCCCTTCAGTCCAACACCAAACTCTCCACCACACGCCTCCTCTCAGGCTTCGTGATTTCCCTACTGGTGTTTAGCTTCCATACTGCAGGGTGTTTTCCTTAATAGACTTTTTTTTTTTTTTTGAGTTGGCGTCTCACTCTGTCACCCAGACTGGAGTGCAGTGGCCGCTCCCGGCCACAGCAGCCTCGACCTGCTGGGCTTCGGCCATCCTTCCACCTCAGCCTTCCGAGTAGCCGAAATTACAGGCATGCGCTACCACGCCCGGCTGATTTTTTGATTTATTGTAGAGATGAAGGCTCGCCAAGTTGCCCAGGCGGGTCTTGAACCCGTGGGCTCAGGCAATCCACTCACCTCAGCCTCCCAAGGTGCAGGATTACAGTCTGATCCACCGAGCCCGGCTTCCTTAGTCGACTTTTAAAGAGTAGTTTTAGGTTCAGAGCAAAACTGAGTGGAAAGTACACAGATTTCCAACTTGCCCCCCCATGGACACTGCCCCTACTGGCTACATCCTACCAGGATGGTACATTTGTTACCATTGGTGAACCTACATTAACCCATCAACACCACCCAAAGTCCAGAGTTTATATCAGGACCCACTCTTGGTGCTGGACATTCTATGGGTTCGGACAAATGTAGAATGACATGTATTCTCCATTATAGGGTCATACCGAGTAGTTTCACTGCCCTAAGAAATGCCCCGTGTACCCTCTGTTCATCCCACCCCACCCCCAACCCTTGGCAACCACTGATCATTTTACTGACTCTATAGTTTTGCTTTTCCCAGAATGTCATATAGTTAGAATCATGCAGTCTGTAGCCTTTTTAGGCTGGCTTCTTTCACTTAGTAATAAGCATTTAAAGTTGTTCCATGTCTTTTCATGGTTTGATATTCATTTCTTTTTTTAGCACCGTTGTCTGGGTATTCCAACATTTATTTATTCATTTGCCCACTAGAGGACATCTTGGTGGCTTCCAAGTGTTAACAGTTGTGAATAAAGATGCTAGGAACATCCGTGTACAGGCTTTTGTG